ATATATATGTGTATTCTTGCATTCATGAATAGGATACATGTATTCATGTATCTTATCTATTCTTGTATTNATGTATCCACATATATGTGTATTCTTGTATCCATGAATATGTATATCCATGTATATGTATATTCTTGCATCCATGAATATGTGTATCCTTGTATCCATATATGCATGTATCCATGTATCCATGTATATGCATATTCTTGTATGCAGGTATCCATGTATGTGGGTATCCTTGTATACACATAGCTATGTATTCATGTATCCAACATATATGCATATTCTTGATGAATACATGTATACATGACATGGATATGTGTATACATCACATATATGTGGATACATGAATATGTATACATAAATACAAGAATATGTGGATACATGGATACAAGGATACATGTATACATGGATACATGAATACATGAATACAAGAATACACATATATGTGGATACATGAATACACATGTATACAGGGATACCACATATACAATAATGAGCTCAAGTGGGGAATCCTGAATTTGAACAAGATCTGCTTCCACAAAAAAAATTGATTATGCTTGTGTAGATTTGTACTGTTTAGAAAGCTGGCTGAATATATTTTCAAACCCCATCCATCAAACATCTAGAAGATAATCTAGGTTTCTAAACTCTATGGGAGTACTGTAGCTGCCTATCACACTCTTTGTACATGACTTACATGAATTAATATGGATGTAGAGTTATGAGATGTCATTCAAGGTACATTGAGAATAATATTTCAACTTTGAATTGGACAGGGGAGTGGTTATTTTGTGAGGCAGGTAGCCTTGTTTACTTGATGATGCAGCATCTCTGTTCAGCTTCATGACTGGAGCTGGCAGTTATTGTGGAGCCAGTGGTAATTGCAGCTTCACAAGTGCTGTCAAGAGCCTCCACAACCAGACTTGTCAATTTTGTGAGTCACAAGACCTGAGCTGAGACTGATGTGGGGGAGAGTTGCCGAGCACTTATACATGCTTAGCTCAACCTGTTACCACAGAATAGGTGGCACATGACCTGAGGCCTGAGGGGAGTGCTTTCTTTATTTGGCTTTTACTCCAAATGTTTAACCATAGCCAAGCCCCTTCACCCATTTAAGGTTTTAACAACATCATGGATTGTCAATTTACTCATTCCATTTTATTCCAGGTTTCTCTTCCTATATGCATACATCAAATTACTGATATATTGAACTTCTTTGATCCCATACAACATATGCTTCCCAGCTTGGCTCACGACTCTGCTCACACACACCTAGCTGAACTGACACAACAACCATGTGGCACAGAACCATGACACATGACAATGACAATCATTAGTGTTTAAAAGTCTGGTCTGGTCCGGTTTTTTGATGCCTCTGGGCCTTAACCGTAACCGTAACTGGTCCGCATTTTCCCCAAAAGTCAAAAGACCGAACCGGACCACAAAAAACCGCGGTCTGCGGTCTTTTTGCGGTCTATAGACCGGTCTTGGTCTTCTTCGGTTTTAACCGGTTTAAGACCGGTTTTCTGGCCAATATTTTAAAATTATGAATCGGTAAATTTGTTAATGTGTTTCGTAGCTTTAAAAAGAGCCCAAGAACGTTAAATTCCGTTGAGAATTGGTGTTTCTATAAAAAAGGTCGTGTACATCTACTATTTTTAACGAAACTTTACACTTTTATTTATATCTTTGTCAATTCTGAACCAATTAATACGTGCTTGGGTGCGTTTTGAAGGGTATTTAAGGGGCTACAAAGACCGGTCCAAACCGGTTAAGACCGGTTCATTTAGACCGGTTTTTTTTGCGGTCTTTAGTTCTCAAAAATAAAAGACCGTAACTGCAGGTCCGGTTTTTTGCAGTCTTGGTCCGGTCTGGTTACGGTCTTTTTTCCAGTCATGAGACTGGACTTCCAAACACTAACAATCATTGACATGACCTTCATAACCTCGCAGGCCTGCATGGCAGTGTCAATTGACACTCGCACTGCACCTGTGAGGTTCATTGGTCTGCTTTATGAGTGTAATGGACAATCTGTGCATTAAATGCAGGAGCTGTCAATGAAAGTCATATGGAGCTGAAATGACAATGGTGTGGAGACCCAGCTACGATCTCAGAAGAGTGTCAGTGACCTGTTAATACACAATAACACTTGCCTATTGGGTTGAGCTATGATAGAACACCTGCTGGAAAGCAATAGATGCAGTGGTGGTAGAGATGTAAGAAGGTAAATTGTCACATGACTACTACTGACAAATATGGAAGGGAGTCATGTGATACAAATGCTAAGTATGTCGGAAATTTCCCAGCTGCCTGATAAGGCACCGGCCTTATAATGTAGATTACCGGTATCATCAGGCCTGATCGGAGGGCATTTTCCTCTCACGATGTTGCGCCAAGCATGATAAGGTTTGGCCCTATTTTAGAACGGGGTCCAGGGTTATCACGACTGATAAGATCGCGAGTGAGGAATGCAAATGTTTGCTTTCCCTTCGACAGCTTGCAGATTATGGCTCCCAAAGGCAAAGGAAGTACCAGAATGGATGCTGGAAAAGTTTCTTGTCAGTACTGTGGCAACAATTTCGCTTCGAGGGGCATCGCAAGTCACGAACAGTCATGTAAATCCAAACCTCGAGAGACTGATGCATCAGAGAAGGCATTTGAAGATCATGTCCGCCGTGAAGGCTTATTGTGTAGGAGAAACAGTGCTCCTTTTGGGAATTCAGTTTACTTGTTTGTCAAATAGCTTCATTCACCCCAGGATTACAAAAATCTGCTAGCAATGCTTCGAGCAGTCGAAATTCTGCACAACTTCGTGAGTAATTACAAAAAAAAAGAACAACAGTTCAAAGTTAACCTGCGTACACAAGCCTTACTGGAGCAACAAGATGGCCCAATTGTTGACAGTGATATCCCTAGTAAGCTCACATGCTGTCTTGAACCCATTTCTAAAATCTCTATTTTGCAGATCTTGATGATAACATGTCACCAACCACCAATCCTGTTACAATTGACCCCATCCTTGATGATATCAAGGTTGAATACCATCCACAGAGTGGGAAACCTACTCATGTCTATCACTTTGAGGATTATACCACATCTTCTGAAGGCACAGCTAATATGCCAGTTGATCCAGAACCGTGGAGACCATTTCGATCACGCCTTGATTTCGAGATTGCTCAGCCTTATCAGGCCTGATAATCTGATCTAATCAGGTTGACCTCAAACTTAATAAATTAACTGCAAAATTGTAAGCCATTGTAAGCCATTATTAGATGTCAGGTGCCTTGGGTGCCTAATAACCCTTATTAGGTGCCAGGGAAATTTCCGACATAATGGAAGGTAAATGATACAGAGGAAGGGTAGGATCCCATATACCTGCTACAATGAGGGTATCTGTGAATGGGTCTATGTACCCCTGGGTTTTTCCAAACCTATACTCATACCTGTCGAAACCCATACTCTTGGGTGTGGGTACAGGTTTATGTGGGTAGGGGTACAGGTTGCACTAAAGAAAACCCAGGTTACCCATGCCAATCCCTACATATAGGATCCAATAAAAATGACACTTGAAGATGATCAGTCAAAGGGAATGCACTGAGTACTTCAAGAACATGGATTCAATGTTGCAAAATTATGTGCTAAATGCTCTCCAGTGTGCCCCATCCGAAATACCAATTGCTGCATGGCTCATCTGCTGAGTTGACAGGATGACTTCAAATCAGCCCTCAATGAGGAGATATGTATACATGAATACAAGAATATGTGTATATGTGAATACAAGGATATGTGTATACATGGATGGATACATGAATACAAGGATATGTGTATATGTAGATACAAGGATACAGGAATATGTGTATATATGGATACAGGATATATCATAGACAAATGTTACCTGCTGGTAACCCACTGGTAATGTTACCTGGTGCACAGGTAATGTTACCAGTCTGAATACCTAAATTCTTGGCATATATTGCCATTGTTCCTCATATTTTTATATTAGTTC